TGCAAATAGAGACAATTTGACTTCCTCCTTTCCTATTTGAGTACCCTTTATTTCTTTTTCTTGCCTCATTGCTCTGGCTAGAACTTCCAGTACGTTATTGAATAGGAGTGGTGAGAGAGGGCATCCTTGTCCAGTGCCAGATTTCCAAGGGAATGCTTCCAGTTTTTGCCCATTCAGTATGGCATTGGCTGTTGGTTTGTCATAAATAGCTTTTATTATTTTGAGATACCTTCCATCAATACCTAGATTTTGAGGGTTTTTAGCATAAAGCGCTGTTGAATTTTGTCAAAGGCCTTCTCTGCATCAATTGAGACAATCATGTGGTTTTTGTCTTTGGTTCTGTTTATGTGGTGAATTACGTTTATAGACTTGCGTATGTTGAACCAGCCTTGCATCCCTGGGATGAAGTCTACTTGATCATGGTGAATAGGCTTTTTGATGTGCTGTTGCAATTGGCTTGCCAGTATTTTATTGAAGATTTTTGCATCTATGTTCATCATAGATATTGGCCTGAAGTTTTCTTTTCGTGTTGAGTCTCTGCCGGGTTTTGGTATCAGGATGATGTTTGTCTCATAAAATGATTTGGGAAGGATTCTCTCGTTTTGGATTATTTGGAATAGTTTCAGCAGGAATGGTACTAGCTCCTCTCTGTATGTCTGGTAGAATTCGGCTGTGAACCCATGTGGACCTGGGCTTTTTTTGGGTGCTAGGCTCTTAATAGCTGCCTCAACTTCAGACCTTGTTATTCGTCTATTCAGAGTTTCAACTTATTCCTGGTTTAGGCTTGGGAGGAGGCAAGTGTCCAGGAATTTATCCATTTCTTCCAGGTTTACTAGTTTATGTGCATAGAGTTGTTTGTAATAATCTCTGATGATGGTTTGAATTTCTGTAGAATCTGTGGTGATATCCCCTTTATCGTTTTTTATTGCATCAATTTGGTTATTATCTCTTTTCTTTTTTATTAATCTGGCTAGTGTTCTATTTTGTTGATCTTTTTGAAAAACCAGCTCCTGGATTTATTGATTTTTTGAAGGGTTTTTTGTGTCTCTATCTCCTTCTGTTCTGCTCTGATCTTAGTTATTTCTTGTCTTCTGCTAGGTTTTGAGTTTTTTTGATCTTACTCCTCTAGCTCTTTCAATTTTGATGCTAGGGTTTCAATTTTAGATCACTCCTTGCTTCTCATGTGGGCACTTATTACTATATATTTTCCTCTAGAGACTGCTTTAAATGTGTCCCAAAGATTCTGGTATGTTTTGTCTTCATTTCGTTGGTTTCGAAGAACATCTTCATTTCTGCCTTCATTTCCTTGTTTATCCAGTCAACATTCAAAAGCCAGTTGTTCAGTTTCCATGAAGCTGTGCGGTTCTTAGTTTCTGCATTCTGAGTTCTAACTCGATTGCACTGTGGTCTGAGAGACTGTTATGATTTCTGTTCTTTTGCATTTGCTGAGGAGTGATTTATTTCCAATTTTGTGTTCAGTTTTAGAGTAGGGGTGATGTGGTGCTGAGAAGAATGTATATTCTATGGATTTGGGGTGGAGAGTTCTGTAAATGTCTATTAGGTTTGCTTGTTCCAGGTCTGAGTTCAAGTCCTGGAAAACCTTGTTAATTTTCTGTCTGTTTGATCTGTCTAATATTGACAATGGGGTGTTAAAGTCTCCCACTATTATTGTGTGGGAGTCTAAGTCTCTTTGTAAGTCATTAAGAACTTGCCTTATGTATCTGGGTGCTCCTGTATTGGGTGCGTATATATTTAGGATCGTTAGCTCTTCTTGTTGCATTGATCCTTTTACCATTATGTAATGTCCTTCTTTGTCTCTTTTGATCTTTGTTGCTTTAAAGTCTATTTTATCAGAGATGAGAATTACAACTCCTGCTTTATTTTGCTCTCCATTTGCTTGGTAAATCTTCCTCCATCCCTTTATTTTGAGCCTTTGTGCATCCTTGCATGTGAGATGGGTTTCCTGGATACAGCACACTGATGGGTTTTGGCTTTTTATCCAATTTGCCAGTCCGTGTCTTCTGATTGGGGCATTTAGTCCATTTACATTTAGGGATAATATTGTTATGTGTGAATTTGATACTGCCATTTAGATGCTAGCTGGCTGTTTTGTTTGTTAGTTGATGCAGATTCTTGATTGTGTTGATGCTCTTTACCATTTGGTATGTTTTTGGAGTGGCTAATACTGGTTGTTCCTTTATATGTGTAGAGCCTCATTCAGGAGCTCTTGTAAAGCTGGTCTTGTGGTGATGAAATCTCTGAGTACTTGCTTGTTCTCAAAGGATTTTATTTTTCCTTCATTTATGAAGCTTCGTTTGGCTGGATAGGAGATTTTGAGTTGAAAGTTCTTTTCTTTAAGGATGTTGAATATTGGCCCCCTATCTCTTCTGGGTTGTAGGGTTTCTGCTGAGAGATCTGCTGTGAGTCTGATGGGATTCCCTTTGTGGGTAACCCAACTTTTCTCTCTGGTTGCCCCTAGCATTTTCTCCTTCATTTCAACCTTGGTGAATCTGACGATTATGTGTCTTGGGGTTGCTCTTCTTGAGGAATGTCTTTGTGGTGTTCTCTGTATTTCCTGGACTTGAATTTTGGCCTGCCTTGCTAGGTTGGGGAAGTTTTCCTGGAAAATATCCTGAAGAGTATTTTCCAGCTGGGATTCATTCTCTTCCTCACATTCAGGTACACCTATGAGACATAGACTAGGTCTTTTCACATAGTCCCACATTTCTTGGAGACTTTGTTCATTCTTTTTACCCTTTTTTCTCTATTCTTGCCTTCTCATTTTATTTCATTAAGTTGATCTTTGACCTCTGATATCCTTTCTTCTGCTTGGCCAATTCAGCTGTTGAAACTTGTGCATGCTTCGCAAAGTTCTCCTGTTGTGTTTAATCTCCATCAATTCACTTATATTCCTCTCTATGTTGTCCATTCTCGTCAGCATTTTGTCAAATCTTTTTTCAATGTTATTAGTTTCTTTGCATTGGGTTAGAACATGTTCTTTTAGCTAACTGTAGTTTCTTATTACCCACCTTCTGAAGTCTGATTCTGTCATTTCATCACACTCCTTCTCCATCCAGCCTTGTTCCCTTGCTGGTGAGGAGTTGTGATCTCTTTTAGGAGGAGAGGTGTTCTGGTTTCGGGTGTTTTCATCCTTTTTGCGCTGGTTTATTCCCATCTTTGTGGGTTTATCCACCTGTTGTCTTTGTAGTTACTGACTTTCAGATTGGGTCTCTGAGTGAACGTCCAGTTTGTGGATGCTGAAGTTACTTGTTTTTCTCAGCTTTCCTTCTAAAAGTCTGGCCCCTCTGCTGTAGGACTGTTGAGGTCCACTCCAGGCCCTGCCTGCTGGGGGATTGCCTGCAGCAGCTGCAGAACAGTAAGGGTTGCTACCAGTTTCCTCTTCTGCTATCTTTGTCCCAGTAGGATGCCCGCCAAATGTCAGTCTGTTCTCTCCTTTATGAAGTGACTCTTTGGATATATGGGGGTCAGAGAGCTGCTTGAGGAGACAGTCTGTCCTTTATTGGAGCTCAAGTCCTGAGCTGTGAGCTCTGTTGTTCATTCAGAGTTGCTGGGCAGGTACGTTCAGGTCTGCTGCAGCAGATCTCATAAACTCCCTTTTTTTTCCCCCAGGTGCTCTGTTCCAGGGAGTTAGGGCTTTATTTATGAGTTTCCGTTGTTTTGCTGCCTTTTTTTTTTCTTTCAGGACTGCCCTGCCCAGCAAGGAGGCAGCCTAGTCACTGTCTGCCTGCAGAGGCTTTGCTGAGCTGCTGTGGGCTCCGCCCAGCTGCCATGTGATCTTCCCTGCAGTCCTATTTATATGGGTGTAGTTAGAACTGCCTTGGCAATGGTGGCCTACCTCTGTTATGGCGGACTATCTCTGTAGTGGTAGGTTGCCTCGGCAACGGCGGGTTGCCTCAGCAATGGCGGGCTGCCTCAGCAATGGCAGACTGCCTCTGTAGTGGTGGAGTGTCTCAGTAATGGCGGACGCCCCTCCGCCACAGAGCCGGACCCTCCTGGGTTCAGCTGTGCTTGTTGTGAAACTCTCAACCCAGAGCATTTTCAATTACTGTTTTTTGTGTGTGGGGGGAGGTGCTGGGACCAGCTGAGCCTGATCACCTGGCTCCCTGACTCAGAGTCTTTTGTTGTTGTTGTTGTTGAATGGTCAACTGTCTCCCAGTGTTCCAGTCGCCTGTTGAAAAGGCACCAGGATCTCCCATGCCATGACTCACTGAGCCGGCTGAAACAGTGGCGCTGAGATTCCTGGCGGTTTTTTTTGCCTAGGAATCTCCTGGCCTGGCTCGCTATTTCAGATGAATGGGTGATTCTGCTGTCTCAGGACTCCAATCACCAGCTAAGAGGGCACCCGGACCACTGTCTTTTGTACAGAGAACTGCCACACCTGCGTGCGGGCAAAGCGGCTGCGCAGGCTGATACAGCCGTGCCGGCCAAAACAGCCTTGCTGGCGACCCGTGGGGCTCCTCCACCTGGAAGTCTCCTGGTCTGTGGGCAATAAAAATCCATCTGGAAATGCAGCGTCCACTCACTGTCTGCACTTTCACTGGGAGCTGCAATCCTGAGCTGTTCCTAGTTGGCCATCTTCCCCCGATCTCACTTTGGTTTTCATAGTAATTCCATGACCTGTGAGAACATGGATTAACCTGGAAACCATCATTCTAAGGAAACTGACACAAGAGCAGAAAATCAAACACTGCATGTTCTCACTCATAGGCAGGTGTTGAACAATGAGAACACATGGACACAGGGAGGGGAGCACTACACACTGGGGTCTGTTGGGGGGAAATAGGGGAGGAACAGCTGGGGGTGGGGAGTTGGGGAGACAGCATGGGGAGAAAGGCCAGATATAGGTGAAGGGGAGGAAGGCAGCAAATCACACTGCCACCTGTGTACCTATGCAACAATCTTGCAAGTTCCTCACATGTACCCTGAAACCTAAAATGCAATAAAAAAATTATTTAAAAAAAACAAGAGAGAAGATCATGGGCATGTAGCCAGCCTCTCAACCATGCAGGGCCAATTCTTTCAACATAGGCCCATGAGGGGCAGGGTTGAATTCCACTAGAAATGACACCAGAATTTTTTGCCAGCTTAGTACAAGGTCCACATTACAAGGCAAAGCTCAGAAAAATTTCTGGAGGAAATGTACCAAAGCTCACTCTGCATAACTCTGCTGAACTGACAGCATCAGGAAGAAATTTCATCTCCTAGAAGGGTGCTGCTCATCATTTCTTCCTGGAAACATCTGCAGAGACTAGTGTAGAGACAGCTTTTCAGGTGAGGACACATTACGAAGTATCAGATACATAATGTGAAAAAGTCTAAAGATCTAATGTACAACATGAGAACTATAGTTAATAGAATTGCATTGTAAGTGGGATTCATGCTAAATGAGTGGAGTTTAGCTGCTCTTGCCACAAAAGCAACAAAAAATAAGTAACTACGTGAGATAATAGATATATTAATTTGCTCCGCAATGGTAACTTTTCACTATTTAAATGATCTCATAACATCATATTGTATACCTTAAATAGACACAATAAAAATCTTTTTTTAAATGTCATCATCGCTTTGTGACACCTCTTCCACTTAAGCAAGTGAAATTAAAACGCCTGTATTATGTTATGCTCAGAATATGCAGGCAAATATGCTCTAGGATAAGAATGAACTTTCACTTGAGAAACACATTGCTGGTACCTACTTTGTAAATGGCAGTTTGCTAGCTACCATGAAAATCCTTAGACGTTTGTGCTCTGAACTGTTAAATGAACTAAGAGATCTGAGAGCTTCTTGGAAGCAGGTAGACAAATAGAATACTGAGTGTGTGGAGAACACACTGAAAACATTACAATATTTAATCTTGGTCACATTATACGTGAGGCAGTTTTTCCTTACACTACTGATAAGAAGGTTGTTGCACTTAAAGTGAGAGGAAATAAGTAGATCAATAAGACAAGAATACAGCCAAGATTTCTTGTTTATTTAAATTATACAGAAAACAAATTTTACTTTAAAGATTTAATCTATAATAGTACTAAGACCATTTATTTATTTATTTCAATTTGCCTGTGTTCTCTCTTAAATCTGAACTTTATATGTCGTATGTGAACTGTTTTGTGACTTATCTTTTCTCATTTTGTTTGAACACTGTCCCAGTGTCTATATGTATTATATATAATGTCTGTATACATTATATTAATGCCTTAGGGTTCAATCACTCTGTGGGATCATATTTTATGTTACCTTGCCCTATTGCGGCACATAGAGATTTTGTTCAGGACTTTCTTATGTGTGTGTGACTTTATACCATTCTGTTTAAAGTTTTTGTTTTGTTTTGTATTTAGAGACAGGGTCTCACTCTATTACTCAGACTGGAATGCAGTGATATAAACATAACTCATTGTAACCTTGAACTTCAGGGCTCAAGTGAGCCCAGGGATGGATTTCAGTGGAACTGACATCTGAATTTTTTGCCAGCTTAGTACAAGTTCTGCACTACAAGCCGCAACTCAGAAATTTCTGGAAGAGTCGTACCAAAACTCACTCTGTGAGACTGGTCAGATTATGTAGGCAATACTCTTTTCCTCTCCTTCCCATTCAAGTATGTGCAGTAAATGCAAGGCACTGGGAAAGATATGAATGAGGTCTGATTTGCAGAATGCAGTCTTTTCTTTTTTCTACTTACACAAAACAGCAAATTATTTGCATGGAGTGATGAAAACTGTTAGAATTTTCCACCTTAAGTAGCTAGGGCTACAGGTGTGTGCCACCATAGCCAACTAATTTTGGTTTTTGTAGAGATAGGGGTCTTTCTGTGTTGACCAGGCTGGTCTCAAACTTCTTCCCTCAGTTAATCCTCCCTTGTTGGTCTCTGAAAGTGCTGGATTATAGGTGTGAGCCACTACACTTCTCCTGTCGCAGGCATTTTGGTTTTGTTTTCTTTCTTTCTTTCTTTACAGGTGTAAGCCACCATGCTCATCCTAGAGTTGTTTTCTTCTATTAAACTGTTTTCTTTGGATTAATTCCACTTCTGTAATAACTGGACTAGGATCAAAGATTCTGAAGTTTATGCCCAAGGATGCTGTTCACTGCCAGTGCTGCCAGCTGCAGTGGTTGTGTCATATTTTCTGGAAAACCTCAGTCTCCGTAGCTTTCAGTTTACTCCAGCCAAGCATGAGAGCCATACTTGGTTGTTAATTTGTAAGTACTTCCTTTGAGAGTGGTTCCAAACTCTACTCTTCAGAAAATATAGTAATATTACACTCTACAGATTTGACATTAAACTCTACTTTGTAACTTCCTTATGAGTTGCCTCTAGATTAAAGACAAGGTTAGCCTTTAGGAAAGTTATTTTTTTAATCATCCTAAGACCCTTAGATATGAGACATGGTCTAGAGTTTTCTTCAAGCTATTATGTAGTATAAAATAGCTGGAAACTTTTCTCATGTCCAAGATATACTATGCATTTAACATATATATGTTTATTGAATGAATGTATTAATGTCTCTATACTTTTGGAAAGTGGAGTGATTAGACAGACAAATTAATACAAGCATTTCATGTATTCAATCATTCATCACCCATATACTGAGAGCCTACTATGTGCCAAATACTGTACTAAGAATTACTAATAAGAGAATAAATAATTTCAGCTTCCTCCCTCAGAAGAATTCAGCATCTAGAAAAGAAAATTCAACTTTAAAACATCATGTTGAACAGTGTAAATATGTACGGTATTTGTCGATTGAAAGAAGAAAACTTTAACCCAACATAACAAGTTATATAATTGAAATATGCACAAACACTTATGAGAACACAGAAAAGGAAGTGACTTTTTCAGCCAGATGTAAGAGACAGTGAAGAAATCACTAGTTGTAATAGGCCTACAGCTAAACTTTAAGGGGTAGGTGGAAGCTTAATTTAGAAGGCAGAGCTGAAGTAGGAAATTTCAAACTGGGAATAAATGCAGAAAGACCAGAAGGGCTGAAGCAGACACTGTGTTGAAGAAATGCACTGTGGTCTTACATGGTGAACAGTAGCAACAGAAGAGGCTAGAAGGGTAGACTAGAGTCAGACGGTAAAAGAAGAATTCCTGGGCTAAGGTACTAAGGTAGTTTCTTTTTATATATGCCCAGATTGGTAATTAGACAGACTCTATGGACTTACTTCCTTCCTTCCTTCCTTCCTTCCTTCCTTCCTTCCTTCCTTCCTTCCTTCTTTTCTCTCTTTCTTTCTTCTTTCTTTCTTTCTTTCTCTTTCTTTCTTTCTTTCTTTCTTTCTTTCTTTCTTTCTTTCTTTCTTTCTTTCTTTCTTTCTTTTTCTTTCTTTTCTTTCTTTCTTTTTCTT